GGGAATGCTTCCGACATGCTGATGTCTCGGTTTTCGAGGCTAGGGAGGGGAGGGATTCCACCTGGGGGGGGAGGGATTCTCCACCTGGGGGGAAGGGATTCTACCTGTGCCGTCTTCTTCGGTAGCAGGTCCGACTTCTTGGGTATGGGTCGACACGTCGCTTATTTTGATGATTACCAAAAATAATTAAAAGAAATAATAAAGTGAGCGAAACAAGAAAAAGTATTATTTAACGAAAGGATCAAATTATCAAGAGACTAATTGATGAGTCCTAATTGATATCCGTGTCCATGCGCTGCTTTATGTGACTTGCCACAGGATAGGGTGGTCAGCAGGTCGTTAAGATGCGTATTCACCAAGGGAGAAGCAGATTTCCCCATGCTTTCACTGTATGGCTGGCCGCCGGCCTGACGATTTCGATGCGACCATGAACGATCCATTTAGCTACTTGCATCGCCGGACGATGCAGGTGGAAATGATTCCATTCTTTCGGACGGAAGGCGAGAAAGGAGCCAGACGGGAGGAAAGGTCGTCGTCGAGACCTCGGGGAGAAACGGGCAATGTCCATCGACCTGTTGGAGATTCAGACGGTGATTATGTCGATCATGGATGGCTGATGAGCGATCGGCGAGTTAATCTCTCCCGAATATTCGCATTTTAATTGCCATCCTTTGAGGAAGAGTCGATTGGAAATCTATGGATTATTGGTAAATTATAATTTTGTAACTGGAAAGAAATTGTGAAAGGCAGGATGGAAAAAGTCGCAGCAGCGCGAATACGGAAAAGGGACGCACGTGGAAGAGGGGCGCACGTGCACGAGCGCTTCCTGCTTGCATCCCGGCAACGTGAGATGAAGAAGTTCGTTAGCATCTCAATTTCAATTGGAAAAAAAAGTCTAAGATGCCATTTCACTGAGAACTAAGTTTTGACTAGCTGCAGATTAGTCATGGAATGCTTTCGCCGTTTATCTCAAATTGTATCTTTTGCACATACGCCCTTTTTGCAGAGAACTCATCGTTCAAATATTGAAGAAGACTGTTCCGCAACTACGGGGGGGGGGGGGGGGGGGGGGGGGGGCCCCNGGGGGGGGGGGGGGGGGGGGGGGGGGGGGGGGGAAGGGGCACGCAAACAAGGCTCTGTGATGCAGGCTCGCTTGGGACTCCGTCGAGATTACTGATACTGCTGCGATCGCGACTGTTGCGACTGCGACGGCACGAGTGTCGCGGAGGGGCGCTGGCTTCCCGTCAGCAGTCACTTATGAGCGTAAACAGGATTTCAACAGGAGTTTTGGCGGGATTTTAGCTCGTCGTTCTAGTTCGTGCCTCGAACAATTTCCGATGACGATCGCACGGGAGACGCGGCCGTCAGCAGCGACACGAACGAGGGACGATCGAAGCCGCCGAGATGAGCGGCAGAGCCCTTCCCGGGCCGGCCTGCTCGAGGAGGACTCTATCGGGAAGGCTTTCGGCCTGCCGAAGGTGGCGGCGATCTCATCGAAAATCTTCCGGGCTTTTTCGTGGAAATTTTCCCCGAAAGCCGGAAAGTGGGCGTGTCGCCGATTTCAAGGAGTTCTTTGGAAAAATTCCTTAGATCTCGCTGTGGGAGTCTCCGAAGATTTTTAATCAATTCGGAAAACCTGTCGAAAAATAATTTTTGAGCCCTCCTCGTTCGTCGTCGACGTTGGAAAACTTTTGCAACTTTTCCCGAGACACTTTAAATTTTATTTTATTTTTTTAAAGAAATCAATTCGAGTGAAATTTTCCTTCAACCCTGAGCGCTCGCCAATCCTTGCAGCGTTAAGCAAATTTAACGCCAATAAAATGGCCAGATGCCTAGGAATCACTGATGATCCTATTTTCAAGGCTAATTAAGTACATTCGTGAACGAGCGTTATCATCGTTACAAAACTCTCGGACACTCTCGGAATGACGTCATTAAAATGACGTCATTCCGACGATTCGGCTCAAGTGGAGACTGCCCGAATTACTGCGTCTATATGAAATGAATCGCCTCCGCACAAACGCTGAACAGTTGACTGGGTGATATCGTTCGACTGTGATTCATTCATCGCCTTTCAAGGAAGTATTAGTCATATTTTGTGGTTTGGTAGCTTTTTTGGGCTTGAGTTCTCCACCCACATCAGAAGCTAGACACCTTTTTAGTTGAAACGGGTTGGGGGTTGAGGCTCGAACCCATGCACCCACGCAGTTTGGAGGTGGAGGGCAGGCGTGATTGCATGGATGCTCCACAGATGGCAGGGCTGCGACGGAGCCTGTTTCCGATAGCCTTAACACGTTGACGACCAGCCTATTTTTGCTTTTCCGCCGCGTGGGACCACGCGCATTTTTTTTGTCAAAAAAAAAAAATCTGCATCCTGGCATCAGGACGCATTGTCGCCAACGTGTTAATTGCGTTTAACCGGTCGGGATTCCAATACGTTGCTCGCCTGGGTGCGAAGGGCGAGTGAATTCCCTCGACACTAGAGGGGCTACATCTCAAGCGACCTAAGTCAAGGCGAGTTAATGATGCGATCGTGGATCGAGTCGGTCGATGATCGACCCTCCTCTGTTTCGTTGACGTTGCTGCCGGTGCTTGCCAATATGGCGCGAGGGTTCATTCTACGCCGGTGCTTGCCAATTTTTTTTTGCAATAGTTGTTACAGTTGCCCGAGTCACTGCAACGTAGTTAACCTTCGGCGGAGAGCCCGTTTGCGATAAATCGCCGCTCGGTAAAATAAAACCAGATATAACGACCGCATTCGAGTTTCAAAAGGAATTTCGCAATATCATTAAATAATTGCATCCGCATGCCAAAACATGCCCGCCGATCCATCCTCGACGACGCGAACCGCAGAGGCCACCCGGCGTCCTCCTTGGGACCTGGACACGTCGGCCCACCCGAGAGCGGCTCCGTCGCGATCCCCAAACGAGCGAGCGGCAATTACTGTCGAACCTGATCGACACACGGCTGCTCCACTTGCGAAACAGCCATCTATCATCGCAATTCAGGTTCTGTAGCGACGCTAAGAGCCTTGTGAATACTGGCCTTAGCCAGTGTGAACCGCCAGTTCATTCACTCTACGACAGATGACGCTACCGATCGACGCACGATCCTCGTGCATTATTGTTGCTCAGAGGTGAACATACGGGTCCAAAGCGCAGAGCTGACGGGACAGGCAGTTGGCCCAAGACAAAAAAAAAAAAAAATACAGAAAGAAATAAATAAAAAACTAAAATCGCAGCGCGAGGATGGAAATTGGGAGAATTAGATCAGGGAAATTGTTTTTAAATATAAATACCAGGAATTTATTTTCTGCAATTAGCATCTCCGGGAGCAAATCCAATTTACTGGATGTTTTTCTTTGGCAAAGGGTGCAATTTATGCAAGTTTTCGAATGTGTATCTCTCCTCTTGTAATTTTCATTGGAGGTTTCTTTTTTTCTGTGGCGGGAGACTCAGATCAATGCACTTTCTCGGTGGTGGAGTTTCTGGAGAAGAAACAAAAAAGCTATTTTAAAAAAATTCTAATTCCTGTCTTGCAGTACAGCTTCTGACAGAAAATAGCCTCTTCTTGCAGCGATTCATGCTCGTGTAGGAGCAGGATCGTCGGAGTGAACCGGTCAGCCTCCAGAATTAAACATTTGAAGCCAGTGCCTTTCCAACAGTCTTTCATGCCCTTTCTCACCATCGCCCTCGACGGGCAAAGCCAAAAGATCCAGAGACGAATCACTCTTCCATCTCGGCCGAGCCGAGGGAAGAAGAAAAAAAAACTTAATCCCCAACCGAATTCCGCGACCGACGAGGTCTTCCTTGACGCCCGATGTTTTCGCCGACGAAAGAAAAGCCAAGAAACCAAGAAAACAAACGATTTACTCGAAAAAGGTAGAACGCCACATCTGTCACGGCACCTTCACCTCTGCCATCTGCAACAGAGAGAGGAATCACTCGCTCGATACAGAACAACCACACAACGCAACTTCAAACGACTGCGACGGTGTAAGCAGAGTCGAAACGACTCCTTCAGAGTCTGAGTTTCATATTTTTACTCGAGATAAACGTCGCCATGCGATGAAAGCCACCGAGTCGGAGTTACAGTCGTCATCGAGAAGACACGAGTAGAAATAATAAGCAATAATTTATACCAAATGGATAATTATTGAATGCCACACAGTCGCATGGACATGGAGTGATTTGTCGGTCCAGCAAACCCCACCGACGCAACAACTTCGACAAAAGGTTCGGTTTAAAAGTGAGACATAAAAAAAAAATCCCCGCCTCTTTAAACGATTCAAGCGGGGAGAGACCCACCATCAAGCCACGTTTAAGCCATGCTTAAGCCACATTCGACTCATTCTATCTAAGGACCTGAAGCATCCATCGATCGAAAAGGGCGAAACCGTGCCATCCGTTCCGCACGCTCGCCCAAGCGCATAACAAAAAGATGAAAAAGACGATAGAAGCAAATTAGTACGCGTGAAAATTATGAAGGACGACGAAACGATACAAAAACAAGATATCACAGATGAACAGCACCATGAAGAAAATAGAAAGAGCGTGATGCTCCTCTGAGAACTGGCAATTTCATCAATAAGAGGGTCGGGAGCGGGAGGAACGACGATCGAGCAACTACGACAATATGATACTTGTCAGCGGATGGTTCCCTTTTGTGAAGGTGAATCTGGCTTCTGCACTGTCCACTTGAAACAGTATATTTTCACAAAAAGTACTATTCTCTAAAGACTTTGAAACTGGCTTAACAACCTGAAATTTTCAAAACAGATTTTGGAAAAGTCATCGAGCCAACTGCCCTACTTCCCGCTCGAGAAAATGCGAAAAGCAACCATCGCCGCAAAACTTTCATTGGGGAAAAAAAAAATGACGGGACGACCCAACCACACAGTTTCTGGCCTCTCCCCCACAATCCACACTTCCCGCCAGTTCCACAAACGACACAGAAGCACCAGTCACCCCCGCCCTCCAGGTAGCAAGAAACCCCTTGACTCACATGCGAAGGAGCTTGTCCTTCCCCCCCGACGCCGCGACGGACCTCGTCGTGGACGGCGCCCAGTCCACCGCGTACACCTCGTCCGCGTGCCCCGGCAGGTCCCTCTCGAGCGCCCTCTTCCCCACGCTCCACACCTTCAGCGTGGAGTCCCCGCTCCCCGAGAGCAGGAGGCGGGAGTCGCTCGACCAGGCGATCGTGTACACGGGGCCCACGTGCCCCCGGAGGGAACCCAGGTACCTGCAACGAGGGGTTCGAGGTCAGACGAGACCGGCACATCCCGATACGTCTATTTAGGATTTACACACATCCACTCACTTTCCCGACTTGGCGTCCCAGAGCTTGATGGACTTATCGAAGGAGGCGGAAGCGATGACTCGGGCGTCGGGCGAAAACTTCACGTCGTTGATCGGCTGCTGATGACCGGTCATTCGTGCTGCAAATTAAGGCAATTCTTTATTGGACCCTCCCGATCGATTCACAACGACCCGAAGCATTCGGGGTTCTCGCCGAGAACTTTCATATACCATTAGCGGCTTAGGAGTCTCCCCCCATAAAAAAAAGCACCTTCCGGCTTGATCAGAAATGAAAATAGAATGGTGTCGGTCGTTTACACGGAAGCAATATCACATCCAGGGTTGTCGATTCCATTTTTCCAGAACCAATCGAAGAATTCAAAATAATAATAAAAACTCCTCACTGATTTTTCATAGCTACCAGTGAAGGGCTGGCGCAATCCACCGATGCATCCGTAGCATCGCCGAGTTTCGTTTTGGCAGCAGCGCAGAGGATCGGAATAGAGATTGGCAGATGCCTCGAATCGCGCATTCGTTGGAGGTGGGAAACAACACAAGGAGGGGGAGGGGGAGGAAAGGTCTTCTTCATGGGACAACGACCGCGTTTGCCCTTTATTTCCCTTTATCTTCCCTCTCTCCCCTAATCATTGGCATTTTCTCTTACCACGAAACCACGAAAAAAGGCAGACTCGAATTTCGCACTTTCTCTCCGAGATCCTGGCTTCCATTCCAGTTTCCCCATGAAATAACGAGAGATCGAGCGAACGAAGAGAAGAAGAAGAAAAAAAAAAGAGGATCCAGACGAGCCATTCCCCATGGCGCAAACCCTCTTACCCTCGCAACTCGATCCGATTTACCGCCTCCACCTCCGCGCGGGTGACGTCCACGAGCGACGGGGGATTCCCCCGAGAGGGGAAAGGGAAGGGGGATGGATGACACCTCGGATGCTCTCGGGGGGATCTTCGCACGCAAGAAACAGCCTTTCCTTTCCTTTCCATGCCTCGCGGTTGCCTTTACCGTAAAAAGCATTTTTCATACTTCCCCTCCCTCTTCCTAAGAGGAGAACGCTCGGATTTTGTATCCTCATTCCTCATTGTCACTTCTGACTGGTTCGCGTGCTGACTGACAAAGGAGCTTAACCCTCGTACCCACTACGTTCAAATAACAGTTTAAACCACAATATCCCCCAACAAGAAACTTAGCGCACCCATGAACCTTTCGGTAACAGGCTCCCCCCCCCCCCCCCCCCCTCCCTTCAGACAGTCACACAGTGCTGTTCAAACATCAGTAGCTGTCGCGTGAGAATTACCCAATGAAGAAAAACTGCATGCTCCAGATCAGTCCTGCATACCCGAGCAGCTGCGTCTTAAAACCGGGCGGCAACAGAAATCCCGGAATCGAAACCGTGCAAGCCCCCCAATTACAGCCACAGCTACGGCCTGGCAAAGAACCCCGAATGCCACGCGCGTCGCGCTCACCCAGCGGCTTCTGCGAGATCTCAGGCGTCCAGAGGCAGAGGGTGAAATCGTCAGACCCAGAGACGAGGACCTCCTTCTCGTGCGAGTTGGAAGTCAGGACCTCCTGATACTTCCTCTCGGCCTCTTCCACCTCCTCCTTCGATATCGCTGCGAGTAAAGAAGATACATCTGGAGGCACTCATCCACACGAAGGCCCATCATTTCGAGGCTGATCACTGTAATCATCGAAGACAAACAGAACATCACGAAACTTCACACGAGATTTAACATGTGCTTCAGCAGCAAGAGAGGGCAAGGATGATGAAGTGACATCAGCAATCTCTGACAGATGGTTGATGTCACTTCATCACTCTACAGAGAAGCCCCTGAATAATTTATCATACCATTTTTACTTTCATAACATCCCGGTTTATCTTTTTTTTTACTTCATGGAAAATTCTGGATTCGTCTCGGAGGGCAGATTTTATCGTAAAGAAAAAAAGCAGCATGACAGAAGTTCAAAATCATCTTAATGGAGATAAGCTTGATAAAACTGGCATTAATTAAAAATCTTTCATCATTCTCCCCAATGAGGACAGATTAAAAAAAAAAAGAAGAGAATGTTGGACGTGCAGTGCCACATTGAGATACTTTTCAGATGCCAGTGCACATCGTCCTACAGACCATTGTAAGTCTTTTGACCAAATTTGAACCCATCCGGAACCATTCTTGTGCATAACACCCATTGAAGAGATATCCCAAAAGTGATATCACTGGATATATATATGGAAGATATCACTGACCTAAACTGGAATCTGAATCCTTCTCCTTGAGGGCATGGCCACTGCACCGCAGGACATAATCGACGTTGAGGGCCAGCGTATTCACCCAATGACCGTGGGTCTCCAGGACGCGGCACAGCACCCCCTACCAGAGCACAGTCGACGATTCAATTCTCGAAATCGACCACTTCCCGAGACACGGACGTCACGGATCGACTCACGTCCTCCGTTCTCCACACCCGTATGGAGCGGTCTTGCGACGCGGAGTAAAGGAGTCCCTTCCCTCCCCATCGAATGCACGTGACGCCTTTCGTGTGTCCGCTGAGAACCAAGATGCATTGGCCTAGGACAGCATCCCAGATCCGGATGTCTCCGTCCTTCCCGGCGCTGGCCACGCGACGGCATTCCGGGTTTCTGAAAGCGTTTCAGAACAAATAGGTTACATGCAACCGAGGTTTCAGGGATGTCTGACCGTTGAAGTGTTCCCTGGGATATGAGATAGAGTTCTGGGAGGACAGAGCTTCTTTTTTATCTGCTTCAGAGGCTTTAAAGGAATGCATCACCAAGAAGTCTATACTGAAATAATAGCATCAAGGGTCCTTTACCGATGACAAACATTGGTTTTGCTGGAAAGTATAATTAAAGAGCAATTTGGGCCACAGGAATCATCATTTGATTAATCTTTCTCATTCTGATACCTCATGTGATCAAAGAATCATCAGACGGGAACATGAAATCCCATCACCTTTCTGCCCACAATGGGGAAAAGTTTTGATTCTAGATTGTCATCTCCTTGCCTTTCAAGAACAGATATACTGTGTACAGGCACACTACATTCTCTTCAAAAGAATTGCCACAGATATTATATACCAAAGAAAATGAAAATCTAGTGCCGGACCTATGAAGCGGCTCCCAGACGAGGGAGGTGATCCACTGCTTGTGCCCAGTCATTCTCTTTCCAATCTGCTTCCCTGTCCATGGGTCCCAGATGAAAACTTCTCCTGCTTTGTCTCCTGATGCCAACTTCCTTCCATCAGGACTCCAAGCCAAGGCCAGAACCCATTGTCTATGACCTACAATAAAAAATTCCTTATCTTTCATTTTACTGCAGCAAAAGTCCCTAACCACATTTTCCTTTCTAAATTTCATTATGACTGTAGTACACTGGACCATAAAGTGTCTGACCACTAATGGGGTTGAATTCTCTGCTGTCATGAGCTAGGGTGTCAAACAAAGATTAATTTTCCCTGCATATCAAAACTGAGGAAGGGAGAAAAATAAATCCAAGAGCCTTTTCTTCCTCAAGTAATTACAATTCATTTCATTTAAAATAAATAAGAAACATGATCCTAAGCAACTCTGCTAATAGATTTAAGCTGAGTATAGTAAGATATCAAACATCTGGTTACAGAAGAATGGCTTCTTCAAACAACATGGGATCAAATGCCATTGCATGGTACCCAAATCACATTGCCTCACTGACACAAGTCAAATAAGAAACTTTATCTTATCTTTAAATAAATAAATAAAAACCTTTCTTCTGGAAATGAAGAGAGGGGAAGGTTTGCATGTGCTGGAACACAGTCATCCCATTCAACAGAATCTATCCTCTTGATAGTACAAGTATGATGGTGACATGCAGTTCGTTATGCACAGAAATTGCATAACAGCAACATGTAACACATTATCAAAGTTCATGCACCAATAAATGAGATACCTAGATGGTACAAGACAGAAATTAAATATGATACTTTTCCAATAATATAAAAACAATAGAAGTATAGAACCTCTATCAGTCTTCTGGCAGGCAAAATTTTTGCAACTCAGAGCATTAGCATTACCCTCAACCAAGTTTACCAACTTGTCATAATGATTCGACTCACTTCTCATGATAAATCCTTCAGTATTACATACCTAATGAACCCTGAGTACTCAACCTTTCTATTGACAGGAGAGCCATGGTGTAGCTAGCAATACATACCCATTATAGAATATGTTGAAAGGAATGTTTTGTAACATGGTCCTTCCTATAAAGAGCATATGTCCATGACAATAGAACATTTAATTTGGAGAAGTGTAGCAACATCTAGCAACTGGGTCTGACTTCCTTTCCTAAATTATTGGAAATGCAATTTCTGCTAATTGTATCAAGAAAACTAAGGAGTATTAGTCCCCTCAAAGGCAACACCCAAAAGAAAGCTGGGGATCTGGATGTTTTTCTAAGGTTTCAAACAATGAGCATACAATCAGATTCTCCTTTGGTAAGTGTCTAAATACAGATCCATGAATGACATCTCTTCCTTTTCACTTAAAATAAAGTTTTCTAATCATGGCAAATAAAGGGAACAGCTTATGAGGTTGAAAATGGGCAAAGCCACCTTCATGTAGGAAAACAATACCTCGACATGTGAAAAAGGGAGTTTGGGTGGAGAGATCCCAGAAGCGGACGGTAGTGTCACCCGATCCGCTTGCCAAGCCACGACTGTCTGGACTGAAGCACACAGATATGACTGCTTCAGCATGTCCAGGTAATGAGCTATTTAAAAAAATTAGAAAAATATTTTGACCCATAATAAAACAAACAAGGAAAATTATGAATTCTAGTCTACCTTGTACATCTGGTGACAGGTTGGACGCGGAAAACGGCCTGCGGCTGATAGACGATGTGTACCACTTTCTCTGGGTTCAGCTCCACCTTGGTGTCAGCCAGAGAGCTGGTGATCTCTTGGCCCTCCACAAAGAAACAGAATGGAACTGGCTCTTCCTAGAAATGGAAAAAAGTACTTCCTCACAAAAAGTACTTCTTGTCTCACGGTTTGCCTGAAAGCAGTAGCACCACACTCACATTTTGCAGAAATGCATTGCAGATGAGAGACAACTTATCAACTCTAAGGTGCAGTGGAAGGTCAAAAGGGGCTCCAAGTGCTTCTCCCGATTCGGATTCCAGCTGGGCCAGAATCCGCTGCTCGCTTTCAACGTCCTCTGTCTCCATGTCTTCTTGGACCATCTCAAGCCAAAAACACTATTGTTCCATCTTCATGATAAATTCCCATCAAGGTTGCAAGAGAATTCAAGACCTTAAATTTCCATTGACCTAAAGGTATCTAATGGACACTAGGTTCCTCTCAATTAAAATCAATGCAGAATTTAGATGGCAACTTTCCTACATATGTCCCAGTGGCAGTTCATGACATGCATCTGTAGTAGTTCCTCCTCTGTCTCCACTGACAGACCACTACTGCTGCATATTGCAAGCTGCCACTGATATGGACCTGTTGGGCCCAGTGGCATTCCATGTTTCAGTTAAGCATGGAACATAGCATTCGGTTGGTAAGTTTGTGTGTTCAAACAACCAAGTCAGACAGAGCATGTAGCCTGAGATCTAAATGGGAAGGACCATTCAATCTGGCTTTAACTGGTGTTCCAGTACCTTTGGAATTCACTGAATAGGACACTACCATTAGGCCATACTCAGTCTTCCCTCAAGAAAATACTGTTGTAAAATCATAAAGTGAAAACCAATTCCTTGCTTTCATGTCCTGGTAATTTACAACTCCTGAATGAACCCAATATGAAGTTGGAAAAGAAGAGAAAATCGAGCCCGGGGGCTCAGAATAGCACGATATTTATTTCACATTTGTCTGACAGCACACTCTCGTTGAATCAGTCCAGGTACTTCGATATGTCCCTTAGCCCAAACACAGCATCAAGATCTGCAAAGGAATTCCTAAAGCCACACTTATAACAATGCCTATTAGGCCAAGGCAATCAAGTGCAAAGATGAAGTCACTGCAGAAGAGACATAAATACATTCAACCTGAGATTAAATGAATGCCCTCTTATCGCTCAGTGTCAATGAGACAGATCAGAAATAAATTTGCTGAAGCAGGTTGAGCTAAGTGAAGATGAAGTGAGGAAAAAACTAGTAGCTTATACACCTTGCAAGTGGGGAAAAGTTGCATGTGGAACCAAAATGGGTTGCAGTGACCTGCACCTTAGAGAATATCAGATTAAGGATAATATATTGCACAGTACAGAGAACATATACCTTCAGAGCTGTAGCAACCCATACACAGAAAAAGTTTCCAAGGGAGGATCTGCCATTAAAAGAATTAAATAGCTATCAGCATTTTCTGGATGTTTCCTGCTATTATTTACCATAAAACATTTCCCTGCAAGAATGAAAGTGACACCCTGCATAGAAAGACAAGCAAATGGAAATGAACATTTCAAGCCCTTTCCAGTATATGAATGAATTCGAACCATGATGAAATTGCCACAGAAAGAATATCATGATTATGAGGAATGAAACCATTTTGATTTCCTGAATATAATTTAAACAGCAACCTTGAAAATAAATAACATAGCATTCTATACATTTGCTCATTAGGAGCACCAATATAGGAATCTCTTGAGAAATAGCTGTCCCTCTACTTAGGAAAGTTGAAACCAGCAATTAGGAGGTATTAGGCTCATGCACATATGCAGCATTAAAAAATTCATTATCCAGGCACATCAGAAATACCTTCAAAGGTAAAATATAATAGTCATCCCCTCTGGAACCAAGACACAAAAAACAATGGCAAAAATTCAAATAATTATGAAAATAGACTTTTCTTTTCTTCCATGTCATGTTCAGCTAGGATGAACCCACCACCAAGAAAAAGATTAAAGCATAGAAGAGAGCCGAGAAAGGAAGAGGGGAGAGTGAAAACAAAAACCATAACACTACTCAAACAATGTTGTAGAAAGAGAGGGATACAGCAACATCGTCTCTCTCATCATAGACATCACCACGGAACCGCCTCTCCAGGAACTTTTTCAGTTCACTTGCAACAAACACTGATGATGTCCAACACATGAGAAATAGGATGTCTGTGGCAAAGAGAGCTTCAGTCTGAAATATATTCTGCAGAAGGGGCAGGTAGATAACCAGGAGCTGCCCTATCACAGACCCACCCACAGCAAAGAGAAATGGGCGGTTTGTGAGGAAACCAATCCGAAAGATGGACTTTGTCTGTGATCGGCAACTGAGAGCATTGAACATGTCAAAGAACACAAAACATGTGAAGGTCATAGTTGTGTCACGTGGAGTGATGACATTGTCACTCATTTCTCGCTGGAACACAAACAATGTTCCCAGGACGATGATGGCAGCTGAGAGGAGAACATTGATGATAAGTGAACGTGTGATCATAGGTTGTTTGACGTTCCTTGGTGGCTTCTTTACAACATCTGGGTCCACTGGTTCTAATCCAAGACTCTGAGCTGGAGGACCATCCATGATTATGTTAATCCAGAGAATCTGCATAGCATTCAAAGGATTTGGGATCCCAAGCATAGTGGACAAAGCAATGAGTGTCAGAGCAGCAATGGATGTGCTCAGCTGGAACCGCACAAAGTTTCTGATGTTGTAGAAAATTCCCTTGCCCTCTTCAATGGCAGAGAGGATGGTTGAGAAATCATCATCAACAAGGATCATGTCAGCTGCTTCTTTGGACACATCGGTGCCAGTTCTCCCCATTGCGATGCCAATATCAGCTTTCTTCAAGGCCACTCCATCATTGACACCATCACCAGTCATCCCAACAATGTAATGCTTCTTTTGCAAAGCTTTCACAATGCGAAGTTTGTGCCGATGTGATGCTCGGAAGAAGACATTCACATGGTCCACTACGTTCTCAAACTCAGCATCATCCATATTATCTAATGCCTCACCTGACAAAGCTTCTGTGTAGAGAGCATGAATGCCCAACTGATTTGATATTGCTAAAGCAGTTTCTTCAGAATCTCCAGTCAACATTTTCACATGCACACCACTCTCATTCAAAGTGGCAATGGACTCTAAAACTCCAACTCTAGGAGGATCCATTATTCCCATTATTCCCAAATATGAAAGTGTATTGTAAGTAGCTCCTCTGGCAAAGGCCAGGACTCTCAGGCCCTTCCTTCCCAATTCATGTGCCTCATTTGTGATCTCCTTCTTCTTGCTCTCTGATAGAGGCCGGTTTTCTCCATGATATGAGTATGTGCTACAATGAGTCAATAAGTACTCCAAAGCTCCTTTGACAAAATATAAAGGAGCTGCTTTCGGATCTCCTTTCATGGCACATTTCACAGTCATCATCTTTCGGTCAGAGGAGAAAGGATTCTCCTCCAATCGGATATAGTTGTCACGAGCTGATGCTACCTTCCCTAACTTCAGAGCAGCAGCCAGAATCGCACCCTCAGTTGGTTGCCCTTGCAGACTTCCTTGTACAATATTAGCATTATTACAAACAACTCCTGTTTCCATCATGCGGATAATGCTGGCCTGGGCCAAGGAAGGGTCAGGTGAGCCCTGGAGCTCAATTTTCCCATTCCCACTGTACCCAACTCCTGAGACATGTGCTAAGTAAGCTTCTGATGTATAGATGTGAGTCACAGTCATCTCATTCTGAGTCAGAGTTCCTGTTTTGTCTGAACAAATGACATTAACACAACCCAGAGTTTCAACAGTAGGCAATTTTTTTACAATAGCCTTTCGTTTTGCCATGCGCATGACTCCAAGGGCAAGGGTCACTGTAACAACTATTGGCAAGCCCTCAGGAATCGCTGCCACAGCTAAACTGACACCAATGTTCAACATCCCAAGAATGGGACGACCTTGGATCCACCCTATCAGCATGATGCAGCCAATGATTGCAAAGGAATAGAAGGACAGCTGCTTCCCCAGAGTGTCCATGCTTTTCTGCAGTGGAGTCTTGGGAGACTCCTCTGACTGCATCATTTTGAACATTTCTCCAAATTCTGACTTCTCTCCTGTGCTGATCACAATGCCCTTCCCATTGCCATTCCGAACCAAGGTTCCCATAAATGCGGCATTCATCTTAGAAGAATGATTATTAGTTGATGGCACTGATTGAGTTTTCTTATGTGCAGGGTCTGTTTCACCAGTGAAGCTACTTTCATCTACTGTCAAATCAATGGCCTCAAAAAGCCTCATATCAGCAGGAACACGATCACCAACTTTCAATATCACAATGTCACCTGGAACTAAGTTTCTGGCAAGAAAGTGCTTCACTTCTCCATCCCGAATACATGTACATAAAGGAGGCACAAGCTTAGTCAGCTCTTCTAGAGCTTTCTCAGAACGGTATTCCTGGACAAAACCCACAGTGACCACAATACATATTGCAGCTGCAATGCTGAGGGCATCATCAAACTGCCTCATGAAGATGCTGACAACAGAAGATCCCAGTAAGAGGAGAATCAATGGATTCTGAAACTGTTCAATATATTTCTTGAAAAGGGATTCCTGCTCTCCCACATTGAACTCGTTGAAGCCGTACAGCCTGTGCCGGTCCTCTGCCTCTGCATCCGATATGCCATTCTTCAAATCTGTTTGCAGCTGCTGAGCTACATCCTCAAAGGACATACTACAGCATTCAGCAGTGTTCACAAAATTTGCCATTGTGCGCAGAGGCTTCTTATCTCTCAGGTGATTGTAAAGGGGCAACTGGAGCTTCTTCTTTTCAAAGAGAGACGATAAGGGTCCCATATTAGTATGGGACAGCTGTTACTATGAATAAGTTGATCTTGAGCAATGGATGGGCCTAGGCTTATCATGGGACCTTTATTGGGTGATCCTGCCAAAGCTCACTTTGCCATGCAATTGGCAGGATGACAAACTGACCCACAAGGCATAGACACAGGGTACAGGCCTCAGTGAAGCTATGAAACTTTCTGCTACCTAAAAGGGGGGGGGAGGGAGATCAAATGATCACAATGAACATCTGAAGTAATACAGGCCTAGACTATCTATTAGGTCCAGGTAAAAAAACAGTGCACTAGGTCTTAGCACAGCATTGAAAATTAGCAAAAATAGGAGCCATACTTGTCCTCTTTCCAGCTGGTTGAGAGATGCATTAGAATCCTTTCCTAATTAACAAAATCCTCATCTAGATTTTGCACTGTAGCAAGATGCCCTGGTGTTTGCCATTTGTGTCAGTTTGTAGTGAAACTGGTTAAGTAGAAAAACTCTTCCATTCTTTTTAATGGAGATAAATAACCACAATTTCAAATCATGTGAATATCCCTTTCCTGGATTTTCCAGCTTCTGTGACTGCTTACCAATTGCAACAATTGAGTCAGCCAGTGCTTTGAAATGAAATATAGCTTTGGTTTGCACAATCCTATAGCTTGACCAGTACATAAATAAAATCCCAGTCCTCTGTGAATCTGATGGCTGCACCAGCAACTTGCCCCTTCTGGCAAGATACTGCCTCTTAAGAACCAATGAAGCAGCTGCAATGAACATATGAAAAACCAAATGAAACAAAATAAGAAGCAGTGTAAGGCTCACATGCCATATTTAACACACTGACTACAATATCAGTCATATCTGGCTAACAGCACCACAATTTGTCATAGAGTCTGACAGTCAATGTATTAAGCTATAATGCAAGAGAAGAAAGACTGCCAAGTTCTGGACAAATAGACATTTACAAGCTTAAACTTGTAGCAAATGTCCCAAGACTAGATAAAATGACACAATGGCCTGACAATATTATGGCTCCAAGAATTAGGAGGTGAGCAGGGAAGACTGACTAAAAGCATGTTCACAAAGAGAGCTCAGGCTGACAAGGGTAGTAATAAGAACATCTATATGGGCAGAGTACATATGTGGAATTCACTGAAGATGAAAAGATGCCTATGATGCTCATCATATTTGTGGATATCATGGTTCAAAGAAAACTCTAAGTTCCATTGTTTTTGTAAGTTCTAAAGCAGTTCAACAATTCCATAAGTGACTTTCAGATTGGAAGAAAGCAAAGTATGATGATAATAAATCGTTTAGGCAGAATGAGGCTGAATTGTTTTCAAAGAAGCAAAGCCCATGAAGTTGGCTACAGATTTGGTCCACAAGTGTGTCCTATTTCCGTGGGACACACATGTGGCCTATATCAGCCATGATGGAAGTCCTTCTAGAAAAACTAGAATTGGAACTGTAGCAACCCACTTTTAGTCCTAACATATCTCTCATTGGTGTATGTGATATCAAATAAAATGACTGGATTTTCAAAAGCTATATTTAAAAAAATCTCAGTCAAGCAATTTAGGTGGGGCTGTGCAGATAATAAAGCCAGAGTCAATCAACAATCTTTTCCATCCAGAAACCAATTACACTAGTTTTTTTTTCCTCCAGATGTTCAAGCCAGTCCCTCCACTCACATACATCACCTTGTTTCCAGCTGCATGTCACCATGGTCATTTCCAGAGAGCATATAAATAACACCATCCCAAGACCTTCAGAATATTCTTGCCTCATCTCTGGAGCTGTAAGCTCCTTGATGATCATCCTCTGCACTCTGAGCCTTGCTAGTGAACAGAGACACGTGTGTGTAGTAGTTCTACAAACGCATAGCTCAACTACTCACCTCAGTTGTCCACAAAGTAACCAGGTAGTTTATCAACCCCTGAATGCATTCATTTCTCTTTCTCTGCTCAACCAACATGCAGTAATATGATAAGATAAGATAGGCTACTAGATGCAACAGGTTCAAGTTCTATAAATGCACATTGTGTTAGTTTCCCAGCCAAACTTCCCCTGTCCCTCCTTTATGGCATCATCTAGGAGTCACATAACCTGTAACCTTGGACTACTTGATTTGGCTGAGTGGGTCATCTGGGGATGTGCTACTTAGATTAGTCTTTCACTACTGGGGTTCTTAAGCATGCCACTTCTAGAGAAGGGAGTTTCACAGGGGTCTCCCAACCCAGGACTTCCACTCGGAAATATATGAATTGGTTTTAAGCTCAGGTCCTAACGAGGGAGCAGAACTTGCTTCTAACTGACCCAAATCCTTGCCCCTATTAACCTCTCAAATGGTGAGTTTTCAATTCAAGGGTTGACCACTAAAGGGGAGTTTTCTCCATTAAAGTAGACTGATTTTATATTTTGGGTTATTTTTCAATTGACATTTATACTTTTTAATAGTAGTTGAACACTACTGGTACAGATAAATGTACATGGAAGAATTCTCATGACAGAAATATCCATCATACCCATTTTGGAAAAAAATCTTAATGTTGGATATATCTGCCATACCCATGTAAGAGGTTATTATTAGTTACATGTAAAATCAATATGAAGTCACCTTTGGGCAAGTACAGGCTACAGTGCAAATCAGAGCTAGAGGAGAGTAAATAGCAGGTTGAACCAGGAGTTCAGTTCATTCACTGAACTTAACTGGTTGGATAACAGGAATAGGATTAGAGATTCAACATGGTGGCAACTAGAATCCTGATGGAACCGGGTAGGAAACTATCAACCATGAGAACAGACAGCTGTTACTTGAGATTAGAGTCATGATCCAAGTCCTACATTATGTAAGTTTATTCCAAAACTAGATAAAGGTCTTTTATCACTCCTGATAATCCCTACACCTTTTAGAATGTTGACAGTTTCCTTCCAGATTTAGCAGCTCAGTTAGGTCTAGGTCACATAGTCTAAATGCACCTCATTATTGCACACACCAATTGCAATGATCCATTTCATCTTCATTTCATTCACTTAAGTTACCAAACCATTCAATTAGCTTTGGGGTCTACCAAATGAGTCCAGTGGCACACGTAACCCTACCCTGACCAAAGCAAGTAAAAAATATAATGGAAAGTACAACTCATTGAGCTACTCAAAAAGCATGTGTTCACTGCCTCAACCAAAAGCAGAAGGATAAACAGCACTGTCTTACTGATTGGAAAGACAGGTACCATTAACTATAGAACAAAAAGCAGGGGGGGGAAAAAAAAAGAAGTAAAAGAAAACAGAATTTAAACAATTTGCAGATAACACAATGACGATTCCACCACAGCATGAACTTTAACCCACACACGATCTGCCAGGAAAACACACATGAAGTCGTCCATGGGCTTAGGAATCCAACAAGAATCAAACTATTGGTAAAAATTAAAAGAAAAATTGCGACGCAACATACAGCAAGTCAAAGGATAGACAATCCAATCGATCTACACGACATAAATGGAGTCACTAGACACGTCAACAAGAGGATTAAAGGGGTTGCAGATGGAAGGAGTAAAGAGATCAATAGTTCAACGTCTAACTTTAAATCGACAGATTTGGTAGGATTTGGAAAGCAAGGATGAGTAATATGAAAAAGATGGGTATAGCCTAGACCTAAAAAAAAAAAAGGGGTGGGGGATGGAGGACAGGTTCATACAGCGACTTCATCTCATAATGATTCATGGTCCACGATTGCAACATTGCACAATCCATCGAACACACCGATCCACGTTTCGGGCCTGTGGACTGTGAGACGGCATGGTAGAACATTACGCGGGCCGCTCCCGTTGGCGCCCGACCCGATCGGCTCGCACCTCGTTTCGACCCGAGGTCGCGGTCCTGGGACCCATTTCGCGTCTCGAATCTCATGGCTCGAACAGGACCAATTCGACAAATAACCATATCCCCCTGGAATGGAGAAACTTTTCTTTTGGCAGACGCAGACGTCGGCTGTCAAACGCAGTCTCTCCAATCTTCTCGGCTATTCTTAGCGTTATGCCAAGTTAGGCAATATTCCGGGGAAGCGAGAAAAAAAGGCAATATTGCGCATAGGAGAAAATAAGAAAGGAAATGGAGCGGACAGACGCGTCGTGACCAGAGCAAGGAACCGTAATTTTCTGCACACGCGGGTCGGGTCAACCGTGTCGACCTTCCGAGTGGAGTCATGCAGGACTCTAGTGAGGCACTGAAGGCGCAAGCGCGAGAAGGCACGGTTGCCGAAGGTGAAGATATTCTCTAGAACCACGGTTGCGCAATTCCTTCACGCCCCCTGCCTCCCTTCCTGCGCAGGCTCAGAGAATCACAGTCAGCAGGAGGGAGAGAGGGTGAGAGTGTAGTCCGTCGTGTTTCGTTCGTCGAAGCCGTGGTCTCTCGTTCCGTTTCCTTTCGAATGTAACAAGAACCGGTTTCATCGTTCTCTTCTTTCTCCTCACCTGTTGAGTCCCGCATTCTATTAGGCTACGGATAGTTTCGGCGAACCCTTAGGCTAGCCACCACCCTAAGCCTAGCCTAGCCTTGGACCACCCTGATGATTTTACCAAGACACTTAGCCCTTCCGAGTTTTTCTTGGCCCGAGCCCAGGAAGCCTAACCCTAGGCCTATGGTTAAGACACGATAAGGGAAAGTCCCCTCGCCCCCAAGCGAATAAGCCTCAGCAAAACATAATCGAAGTCGTGTAGGATTACCATGAGAATTTTTTTTCTTTCTTTTCTCTTTTTTTTATCCCTTGACCTGTCCGCCCAGCGTCGTTCATCGTCCGATTAAGGCTCCTTGCCACAAAACCACATCGTAGGGTTATCAATTTCCCTTAAGTGATTCATTTCCCTGATCCAAAGCTTGCCTGTTCAAATACAACAATTCAATGAGAATTCATTCCTGTCACTCCCCAAAGTGCTAATTAGTACCACTAACTTCAGGAATTTGCCTTGACATGTGACCTTGCCTCTAATAACAGCCAAGACAGCTTTACCACCATGCGGGGCATCCGACGATCTGTCGACTGTGTGCCAGTCGTGTCCCTGTGTGCATCTAAAGCAGGCAGAAGAAAGGAATTTAGAAATTTTGAAGAAAATAGTTTGCAGAAATTCATTTCCCAGGTTTTTTTTTTGTATAAGATTACAGCAAGTAGCCTAGAAAAGATTAAAAACATGGAAAGAAAGGAATAAATCACTTGAAGAGCTAAGGAAGTTGTATAGTTTCATTTAAATTTCATCATTTTAAAGTTCAATGTAAAATTTTTAAAATTAAATTCTTTTAGAAACCCATGTAAGCATATCCTAAACCTTCCAGGATCCCTTAAACAAAAGGGAATGTTTTTCCCCTCCCCCCCCATGCCTTACCAATAAGTGGCCAATAAAATGTTTTATTGGCTTTCAAAGTGGTATTTGCAGAATGTGTGCATCTTGAAAGTGTTTTACTTGCCCTTCCAGCAACAAATGCGAGTCCTCTCTCACCCATGGGAGAAAAATTGCAGGCATAGCACAGAAGAAAGAACTTGTTTGTTGAATCAATATCTGCCCCCCTCGGGCTTGCTTCCATAAACAGATGCTCGACATCTCCCGCGCCCGGATATCTATCATCTCCGTAAACGGTACATCCGCATAAACGCATCCACGGTGGGCCTCGTTCGGGTAAACGTGCGGGGCCCCGGAGAAAAAGCACTCCCGATCCCGGCGGGAGGTCCAGCGAATCACAAAAGAGGGGAAAAAAAAAAAAATCCCCTGGGAAAGGCGAACGGCCTGCTAAGTGCCCCCCACACGTGCGGGGCGATCCCGCCGGGAATCGAAGGAAATCCACCCAGACCTCCACCGAAATCGATGGGATCCCTCTCGGCGGACCTCCTTCGAGCGCTCGCGACTCGATGACGTGTCCGGTGCGGATCCGCATCGCGAAAGGAAGGGAAAGTGCCGGGCCGTCCCATTTGCGGATCCCACGACGTCGGGAGTCACGTGCTGCGGGCCCCGAGGGGGGGAAACCCAGCAGGGCATGACTGGATTCTTTCGCGTCTCTTTACGCCCGTCTCTCTGCGTTCCGACTCCTGGGTGCGATGTGATGTACGATTCCCCCTCTTATTTTTTTTATTACTTTTATTTTTCAATTTATTTCGCGTCGGGGTGGAGAGGGCTTTACCGTCCAACCCCGTGGCCTGGCACGCATCCTACAGGGAGCGTAACCGTTAAAACGTTACGTCTGAGAAATGCTTGCCCTGATTTATATCTATATGGTGGACTACAAAAAAAAACCTCAATGCCTGGGGCTTCACTGGAGCAAAAAAGAGTTATGTAATTGCTCTGGCTGCCTTGGCGAAACAAGACTAGTTTTTTTTTTTTGGTTGGGATACAACTCCATTAAGCTATATTTTGGCTTCTGAGAATAATATTCCACCAAGGGGAGAAAGGAACGAGAAATAATAAATAAATAAAAAGCCTGCTACCTTTCTCTTGGGAAGGGGGGGGGGGGGGGGGGGGGGGGGGAAGAAGAAGAAATGTAAGTGCATGTCAGTGAAAGCTATTTATAGCACCAGGAATGAGAGGGTGCAGCGTAGAAAATTCACAGGCCCGCAGTTGCGTTTCATCCGTGATGCAATCGATGGGCCAGCCGCCCGGTCAATGGCATTTTCGGCCGCTTCGTGTGTGTGCGTCTGGGTGCGTCTTGTGCTTGCGTCTCGGTAACGGGAGCACGGAAACGAAGGGGGTAAGGAGGCAAGGCCGAGGCGATCCGTGCCTGGCGGAGTGGGAATCGCCTCGTATTTGTCAACCGGGTGACGACAAACGCGGCGGTCGTCCGGTGTCGATTCCAGATAACGATCGGAGCGAAAAACCGGTCCGCCGAGCCCTTCGTCTTTCGCGTAATGAGGCCTTCTCTCTCTCTCTCCGCGAGGCCTTCTCTTTCCCTCGCCATCGATCAGTTCCTGCGTCTTTCATTCATCGGGATATAAATATCTGGCAGACTTCCCCTCGGCTCGAGGAGGAACGCGATTCGAGCTGGGAATTCGCGGGATTCACGGCTCATTTAAGTCGACGGGGAAGCGGAACCTCGAGCGAGGTGTCGGGTTTTACCTCCTCGAATTTCCCATTCCGCAGTCGATGTCACAGCCGATGTCACCGACGATGTCACCCCGACGCGACGTCGCTCGTCTCATCGGCGACGAAGCGCGAAATTTCATCGTCTTTTTTATCTTCTTTTTTTTTTCTCTCTCCCCTCGCAGGTGCGATAGACCACGCTCCCCACCCCCATGCACTCATCGCCTGCCGGAAACGAGTGCACGAGATGGCCGGGGCGGGGCCCGGCGTGATCGAATGGACTACCGGGGAGTCCGGCTGAAGCTGCGAGCGTGGCAGGCAGACGGCCGGGAGAGCATGCCGTCGAGACGCAACGCGACGAGGACGATATGGACGGTGGGGGCGCTGGCGGCCCTCGCCTTCGTCTTCTATCAGCTCTTCGCCTGTGATAATTCCGTGCGGTCGGGGTTCGTCAGTTCCAAGGTGAGACGGCGGGGGAGACGGGGTTCGTTCGAGGGGTGTGACCGGACTTTCGCTTTCTCGGGGTTCGTAAGTACCGGGCAGTGGCTCGTTGCGTCGCAGGAATTTTTTAATGGCCTGGGAAGTGCGGGAGGAGTGGCAGCACCTGCATTCGGAGCGCTTCATTTGCGAACGAATGGCAAACGGGGCGCGTGAATTACGACGGGAAGTAACGCGATCGTCTGTCCTCGCAGGAGAGCGTTTTGATGGACCCGAACACGAACCAGCTGTACACGTACGGCCGGGAGTCGCCGTTCATCTTCATCGGCGGGATGCCCCGCTCGGGGACGACGCTGATCCGTGCCATGCTGGACGCGCACCCGGAGGTGCGGTGCGGGGAGGAGACGCGGGTCGTGCCCCGGATCCTCCAGATGCATAACCACTGGATGAAGTCGGCGAAGGAGAAGATTCGGCTGGAGGAGGCGGGCCTCAACGACGAGGTGAGAGCGGGGTCGGTGGGGGGGTCGCGATAGCGCGGACCTTTCGAAATCTCGAGCAAAATTTTCAGTCATCACTCGGGAAAGTTTTACGTGGAAGGGGGTGTGAGTGGGGGGGGGGGGGGGGGGGGGGGGAGACAAGATGCACACATTCTGCAAATACCACTTTGAAAGCCAATAAAACATTTTATTGGCCACTTATTGGTAAGGCATGGGGGGGGGAAGAGAGAGACCTTTGATGGTGCAATGGTGGAGGGTGTCATGACGGAGTAGGATGGCGTGCCAAAGTGGGAAATAGCCGTGAGGGTCTGCAGGTCGTCATTATTCGTAATAATGATATTTTTTTCGAGATGTAACCACGCCTTCGTGCTTCCGTTTGTATCTTTCCGCTTCCTGTATGTAGGAGGGAAGAAAAAAATCATTTGAAAATTTTTACAAATATTTCGTCATGTCCGCTGTGCCTTTCCGAAAGGAGGGCTTTGTTCCCGATCCATTCTGATTTGTATTGCAAACTTTTTTTTAAATGCGGGAGTCCAAATTCAATTTTCGAGGCTGGAATTTTCTCATCGGAGCGTCTGGGTTCCCGAAAAGTCTCATCGCCACAGCATTACACCGACATGGTGCGGACCGTGAACTTGCTCGTCTTTGTCTTTTGTCTCTGGACACAAAGGCTGTAATGCGAGATAGGGATTTTTGGCATGTCGGTCATGTCCCGAACTAGGGGTCCAACATACCTCAGATAACATGTAACATGTTCCCAGATCGAGCTGATACGTTGGTCATCGTCGCAGACAAAAGAGTTTTCCATTGCATGAGATTGAGAAATCCGCTAGGAAGGGCTCGGGAATGCACGGAGCAGCACTAAAATTTTTTTTGTTTTTTTTTTGCTGGAGATGTCAAATTGAGCGAATCAGGTGGGATCGATTGCCTTATCAAGAAGGAATCCTGGCGGGAAGCGTCGCAGAATCTTTGAGTATTGAAGCGGACCACATGCTGTATCTTGTAACTATAAAAAAATTAGCTAATGCTGTTACTACGGATCCGAGTAACTATATCCAGTTCCTTTCTGAAAGTGATTTGCTCATCCCTGAGCAAGGGAAGATAGGGCAGAGAGAATTGAGACAAGCCCGGCAGAATGTGGCTGTTTTCATGGTGCAAAGCGAGGGATCGTTTGGGGTAGGATGTGTGTTCCCATTTTTCTGTTTTTCCTCATTTTTATCCACATCATAACTGCTCTCTATGCAAGTGTAGCTCTCTGAGGCAGAGAATTTATAGTTTGTGTCCAGTTGCTGCAACAGACTCGTCCTTGGCAGATTTGGCCTCAAGAGGCAGATTTTGCCTCGACAGGCGGATTTTGCCTGGACAGATTTGGCCTCGATGGGTAGTAGATTGGTATGCTTATGCGTCTTATGGAGCCACTTGTGACATGACTTTTACCCCATCTGTATCCAGATCCCCCCCCCCCCCCCCAATCTGGTTTGCTGATGGTACTTCACTATAGAATATCCTGGTTTGAATATTTCAGGCAGCACTCTCTCTCTAGGAGGGGAATAATTAGTGAATCTGTACTCTTGCTTCAATGCTATGTGCCTTTTCACAATAAAATTATTTCAAATTTATTCTTGCGAACAGGTCCTGAACGCAGCCATATCGGCCTTCATCTTGGAGGTGATGGTGAAACACGGGGAACCGGCACAGCGACTGTGCAACAAAGATCCCTTCACTCTCAAGAGTGGGACCTACCTCATGTCTCTCTTCCCGAACGCCAAGTTTCTCTTCATGATACGAGATGGGCGTGCTACTGTCCATTCCATCATCTCTAGAAAGGTGGAACCTTGTTTCTTTCTGGCTCATGTCTCTACCTTCTTTCTCTGTTTGCCACATCAGGATGAATCCTCCTCTGCAGGTGACAATCACCGGTTTCAACCTGAACGATTACCGGCAATGCATGGAGAAGTGGAACGCAGCCGTGGAGACCATGTACGACCAGTGCCGACAGCTCGGAAGCCACCGGTGCCTGCCGGTGTATTACGAGCAGCTGGTGCTCCATCCCAAGGCTCAGATGAAACGAATCCTCGAGTTCCTCGAGATCCCGTGGAACGACTCTGTCCTCCATCACGAGGAACACATCAACAAGCCTGGAGGAGTCTCTCTGTCAAAGTTTGTTTGATCCTCACTATCTTATCATGTTAGAGTTAATGGAGCATCACAACATTTGTCTTTGTTTCCAGGGTGGAACGCTCCAGTGATCAGGTGATCAAGCCAATCAACATTGAAGCCCTGACCAAATGGGTTGGGAAGTTCCCAAAGGATGTCGTGGACGACATGCCAAAGATCGCGCCCATGCTCTCCAGACTCGGATATGATCCGTACTCCAATCCGCCCAAGTATGGTGATCCGGACACCGTGGTGGCATTGAATACCAACGAAATCTCCGAGCATGCGGCCGAGTGGCAGCTCAAGGTGGAGCAACTCATCTCCAGCAAGCGTAATGGCAGTAGCTCGAGGAGGTGATGAATTTATCTTCACCCCGACAGCATCGTGTTGCTACAATCAAAATTGAACTAGTGTGTTGGTGTGTGGTATGGTTCATTAGAGGGTAATTTTTTGGGCTCCATCACCTGTTCAGCTTTGACATCATGGAGGAATGAATTCCCCAAGAAGCAGCTAGTCATCCTTATTATCTATAACTTGATAAAAGAAATTCCAGAATATGGGACCATGTTCTTGTGTTCTGGGGAGTGGGTTGTTCTAGGTTTTCTTTGCTTGCACATGAAGTACCACTGCCCTCATTGAGGCAACGGGAAGAGAATCTGGAATCTCTGCTCATGTATGGCGTGGTGCCCGATATGCATTTCCACATGCATGACATTGACTTTTTTCTTGCTTGAAATTTCAAAGATTTTCATCAGAATACTTCCTGTGATGCATCATATCCTTGCCAGCTTGTTACATGCTGTTCCCTTGTCACACCTCATTGTTTCAGTTATTACCCCTACTTGTCTCTGAACCTCTTCCTGGTAGCAGGGATGGCCATTATTGTTATTGTTAATTTTTTGTTTTTTTCTTTTTTTTTTTTGCCCAGCTTAGTGTTTTCAAACTGGTAGTATAGGTATTACTCAATGATTTGCAGTCTGTTTCTGGGTGACATTTTATACCTGTACTTTCCATGTATCTGTATTTTGAAGCATTCTAAGGGGTATTGTGTGGCTTTGAGTGGCCCAATTCCATCTTGTATTGCAGGGGTGATGCTTTTTCATTAGCATGAACTTATTTCTTTCTCAATCTCTTGGGAGTCTTGGCACTTCATATAAGACTTTGGTTTTTTTTCTGCACTCTGGGTGAAAAAAAAAAAAGGTGGTAGGGCGGAAGGTTTCCCCCTAGAGGGATACTCTTGGGTTCAATTTCCCCAGGCAATCCATCACTGTCACACCAAAGTGATTCATCCTTCAAAACACTTTTTTTTGCTCATTCTCCTTGTTTACTACTTTGCAGTCAATCAATCATCCCATGGATGATGTAAACTTGATCTGACCTGGCCCTTGTGATGGATCTGATTCCTGGATATGTGATAATGGAAATAAAATGTTTCAAGAATCAGCACTTCAATCATCTGCTTCCATTCCTCTGGGTGTCATGAATCTTCGCAATAAGATGCCATAGTGCTTTCTTGAAAGTATGAATAAGTTGTGCAGAAGTTCTTTGCTTCTGCAAACGCTGTATGAACTGCACCATACATCATTTGCATTAGTTGAAGACCAGGTTTCATTTGATCTTTGATTGCTATGTGGGGATATATGATGGGAAGAATCAAGCATCTCAAAACCATCTTGACCCATTAACTAGCATCTAAAAAGGGAAGGTTTGGAAAATGTCCTTTATATGAGGTGAAGAGCACTAATGATGCAAGCAAGGGTGCAATCATGTTCCTTGACTGCCATGTGTCTAAGTGTAGTCTTGGAAGAATTCAAATGAGAAATCCAATGACTAATTCCTTTTTTGCGGGTGACCAGAGTTTCTGGTGGATAGGATGGGAAGTCATAGGAGAGTTCAATATCATCAGGTATGAAAAAATGAGAAACCTCTCTTAGTTAATTATTCTTTAAATATATATGTGGACTCCCAAGGGGGAAAAGAGCACTTCAGCTTAGAAGCCCCTTTATCTTGCCTGAATGAGGCTTCAGTATTCAGGCATTACCATTGAATGAATGTTTTTAAAATTTGTTGAATTTCAAAATTATTTTTGAATTAATAAAAATAATGTAAATACAATGTAAATATATAAATGTATAAAATATAAAAATTAAAATGTTTATATGAATACCTTTTTTTACTAACTCAAACTAACTCAAATAATACAACTTGGGGCAAGTATTGCCACTGGGAGCTATGTTCATGGCAAATTTTTTAATGCCAAAAGTTGGGTGAAAATGGCTTGAGATTAACAGTGATAAATTTCAGTGTGCTGTGGATGTTCATTATATTCTTAATATTTCTTTGCACTAGATAGGTAATGTGGTTCTCTCCCAGGAATGATGGCAAAATAAGAGGAATTGGCATTATGCCTGCTGATTAATTTCCTCTTAACTTGTCCTCTTTCTTATGTGACCAGAAATACCTTCACAAAATGCAACATTTCAACTTCCAGGACAAGTTGAGGCTTGATGTTAGCAGTGAAGTGGCCATTATTCATGGCATCGGGATATAGGTGGCATGCAGATCCAACTTGAGACAAAGGATAATCTTAGATGAATTTAGGAGAAAATTCAACCTGTCAAGCAATTCAAGATTACATAAAGGACTTCGCAGACACTGCACTCATGAAATATTTTTTCCAGGTAAAGCATATCTCCGCTTGTCTGACAGCCACTGCTGCATCACTAATGGAAAATTTGTTATCTTAAATCAGTCTATTTGTACATATGATCAAGACGTGTGCTGTTGCTAAATATACAGGTATTACTATAGGCAAAATATTTCCATTAGTGGTGGCATTAGAATTTGCATTCTACCATCGGCAGTCTTATACCAATCTTGAAATAATTTCTCCTTATTAGGAAGGGATGCTCCATTTTGGGCAGGTATTATATATTTATTCTTTTTGTCTTCCTGCTTTGAGTATTAAAAGACATGCTACAATGGAAAATAAAGTCGATTGCAGGGCACTGCTTTTCATTCCAGCCCTCATGGATAACAGCTTCATTCCACCTTAGCATCAATGGAGGTAATGCAGTACCTCATACTCGTACCCTGTAAATAGAGGGAATGTTGCCTCCTTTTTATTCAGTCTAAGATCAGGTTAAAAGGCATGTATACATAAAATGTCAAAATTTCTGTATTAGCATTTGAATTTCAAAATAAGTTTTAATGTATTAGAAACACTGCTCACCTACCTCATTAATCTACCTCTGACAACAGCTTAGCTTATACAAGACTTCAAACAGAGTACAGACAAGAATGCCACCAGATGCATCATGGTTAAGCTACAGTTCAACCAGTAGTACTCCTTGACTCGGGCCTTTTAAGGTTGCATCCCCCACAACTTTTGGTGTTGAAAAAATTTTGCAGTAATACATTTTATTCACCAAAGATAACACAAAAATGATCCTGAGAAAATATTGCATTGGGGAAAAATTAAATAAAACAAATTATATACACATAATTTGTCACATATGTGGCAACAAGGCAAAAATTGCATTTGTGGTTTTTTTTTATTGGTGTGGATATTATATCATCAAATTATCAATTGCTAGTCAGCTATGACACTGACTCACACAAATGAGAAAGTCCAAGCCTACATTTGGCTGATAAATCAGCTGGTTCATAATTGAAAAGCACAATGTTGCTCTCATGGTCTGACTGAGTAAAGCAAAGAAAAAAAAATTGGTTTAGATAATAGGATTTTCTTTTCAAAATAAATAAATTACAAGAAAGCACATAAAGAAGTCAATAATCTGCATTCATAAGTATGATCAAGACTCACATGATCAGAAGATGCTGAAGTCCTTGAACTCATACTTGATATCCATTTTTTGCTTCTTTGCTGAAGTTCCCTCTTCAAGAAGAGACTTATCTGTGGCCCTTCAGAATAAATCATTCACCAATTATGCAGAGATATTCAATATTATTGGTCTGAAGACATCAAGATGCATTTTCATGAGATGCTTACCTGATGACCATAGCCTCTGGATTGATGTACTTCCCTACACCAGACTTAAACACAGCAGGCTTCTCAGCTCTCCTCACTTCTGCTTCCCTTGCCTCCTTCTTGGCCTTGGTCCTCTCCTCCTCTTCTGCCTTTTCCCTCTCTGCCTGCATCTGTGAGAACACCAGAGCATGGCACCAACCATGTTCCAAATTTTTCACTGAGCAACATTGGATCATTACCTGCTCCTCCACCTCGTGGAAGGGGTCAACAAAGACGACAGCCGTGTAGATGAAGATATCCTCGACTGGACGGTCTTTACCATCCGTTGGGGTGTTTTCCATTGCCGAGAGTGTTTCCAGGCCTCCAACGACACGGCCAAACACAGAGTGTTTCTTATCCAAGTGACGACAGGACCGGAATGTGATGAAGCTGCCATGTCACACATCCATATGAGGAATTGCTCACTTTGCTGCCTTAGAAAATGAGACTGGTATGAGGTGTTTATAGACTTACAACTGAGATTTGTTGGAGTCTGGCCCCGAGTTAGCCATGGAGAGGATTCCTCGTCCTGTGTGGGTGAGGCTGGAATGGAACTCATCCTTGAAGGGCTTCCCCCAGGCTGATTCACCTCCCTTTCCAGTCCCCTCAGGGTCCCCTCCTTGAATCTATGAGAAAAAGTATGACTACAATTTGCAATGTTATTGGTATGCTAGGCTAAAACTCAACGACAACACACCATGAAGTGTCGGATGGAACGGAAGAACTTGCTGTTATCATAATAGCCACATCGACAGAGTTGGAGGAAGTTGTCACAAGTTTTTGGAACAATGTCACAATGGAGCTCCACGTTGAGATGTCCCAGGTTGGTGACGAGTCGTGCATAACCTAAAGGAATTGAATAATCAGTATCTTGAAAGGCCCCAAATTAAAAGAGTTCAAGGTCTTGATAAGCACCCAAAAATGAACTATTTACCTTTCTTCTTTTTTGCTCGCTCATATCGAATGACATCCTGATCTAGGATGGCAGCCTCCTGCCGTGTTGATGGCTCCATCACGGTTGAGGTGAATCCAGCAGCCATCGCCCCAGTGGAAAAATGAGCTGAATTCCATTTGTCACGCACAACCTTGCTGGATTCATCACCAGCCTTGGATGTACTGGCCACACTGGACTCCTCCAGTTCCTTAAGAATCTCCTTCACTTCTGTCCCGACCTGCCTTAACTGAGATCCCTTCTTGTCATCATCTGAAAACAGCAAAAAAGGTAATCAGTCACTTTCAACAGGTCCACTAGCAGGTGTTAATTTCTCTTTAATGAACCTTGTTGATATCAACAGTGCTTCAAGGAGGGGGCAGGCAGAGCCAAGAGATAACTTCGAATTATGCTTGCATAACATTCACAGGATTGGTTCAATCATAACACCACAAGGTGTGAAAAATAATTCAAAAAGCACTGCAGAAATCTCACCTTCATCAGGAACAGATTGACTGAGTCGTACATGATGAAAGGTGGCAATGTTGAACTTGTCCAAGTTTGCTGGATCTTGGAGGGTGATGATATCTGTCCGAGTGAACGGCTCATCATTCAAGAGGTCTCTAAAGTGCTTTGGCTTGATATTCAGCTGCTCCACAGCCTAACAGGAGAATGCAAAACCTATCAGATGAAATTAATCAGCCCTAGATTCCCCCATCAGAGAGGAGCATTGCTAGTCACCTGGTATGAAAAGACATTTCCTGTCTTCTTGATGGCCACAATGTGAGTGCTGTTAGTGAAGACCTTGTACAGCACTGGGCAATGGTACTTCCCCTCTGCATTCTTATAGAAGTTCAGCTTTATCAAGGACTTGGAGTCCAAATGCTGCATGAAAAGGGTTTTTCTTCTTTTCAATACTTTTCCATGCAATTTTAATTCATTCATGGTGTGGCAGGGATTCAGCAAATACTCACTTTTCCAGTAATGGGATTACACTTGAACTTCTTGAGGTAAGGCACAATGGCCACGAGGTCAAAGATGTTGCCATCAGCATCACAGAGTGGGTTCTCAAAGGGGATCAAGGACAGGGCGCAATGGTCGTATGGGAGTCTCTGAAACTCCTGTTTGGACTTCTGCCCCATTGCTGCTTTCTTGCCACCATACAATGTCCCCCATTCTGTGTGAGTCAGGTATCTGCATGAAAGGAAAGCATGAAAAGTTAAAGGCCAGCAAGTTGAAATATTATTTTATGAACCCATAGATGCAGTTGGGCTCCAATTTATACTGAATGATGCCAAAGGAGGGACAAACATAAGTGAGGACAAGAGACATGACCCAGGGAAAAGAAGGCTAGAGGCTAAAGCCCTTAATTGTAGCATCACGTAAAAGTCACAGGCTAGGCCAATACTCTAACTGCAAGCAACCAAACAAGGAAAATATTGAATAGCACAAAGGCAATTCCAGGATGCACAGCATAGCTCAACCAATGAGGCTGATGGCATTTGTACTGGATACTTGCAGTGATTTCACTGGTAGTATATTTCAATTACTAGAATGACTACTGACTGATCAAAAAGGAATGGCACTTTCACTGCAGCTCAAATAACACTTGCTGAAATTGTTGACCACTCTACAGGCATGAACTATGTTCACTTTGCAACTCATTAAAATGTCAGTGGTCTTTCATTCAAGGAACTCTGTTGGTGATAAAAAGAAATTGCCATGGTTAGTAACTTTAAGTGGATTTTACTGGAATGCCAGTGCTGGAGCAAAGGGCAAAGATGAAGCTCTGAAAATCGTTCACTGAGACTCTCAAAGCTTTTGCAGCAAATGTACATATGTACAGCAGGTCCTTGCTGCAGATATCTGCACATACATCTTTTACAATCAGGTATAGAAAAAAAAGCCCTAGTTCTAATGAAATTTATTTTTAATTGCACCATATCTCTTTGCTTTTGTGTCCTTCAAAGGTTATTGAAAAGCTTCAGAATTTTCCAGGTCCTTCTGTCATGAAAGGCAATGAAAGATGAGGCCTTTCTAATGGAAAATGAAGCAGCTTTATGGCATAAAAGTGTAAAAGAGAGCCCTACTATATTTTACAGAATTAATTCCAGAAATACCTCTACAAAGGCCTGATTCAAAAGGATACCATGGGTGAATTTATTGCATGGGAAGTATGCTTCCAAAGGATGTTCAACGTACCAGACCATGGTCTGTAAATTAGGACTATAGCTGAATGGTTGACTTCACTCTAGATGTTTAAGTTAGAAAGCATGCAAAGAACCAAATGGAATTTTTAAAAAAGTCAAGTAGCTCTTTAGGAACATCTTGGGAGTGTAATAATTGAATTAAAGAGTTGAATAAAGCAAACTGGAGATTCCTGACGAGGTAGAGGAGCACAAGATAACGAACCCGAGAAACTAGCGCAATTGCCTTAATCAACTGGTGATATTCGAAGACGAACGGTCATCTAAAGATTCCAAAATATTTGGCGCATACAAGGCAGTTTGCTAACGATCAAAGCAATTTTGAAGGAATGGAGAACGATTAGGTACGAGTTGGCACCAAGAAACGAAATTAATTCTAAAGACCAAATCTGTTTCCATTCACGAGAAGGGAGGAGATTCTTACAATTTGTCCTTCTGATGCTGTTTCTTCCCCATGTCAGCAGAGCAGCACCTTTCTTGCACGTGCTCATGCGGGCATCCACTGCTTGGATTTCAGGCTGGACGCGCGATGAAGCTCTGGAGACCTATTATGAAGAAGTTTATGAATACGTGAAAAGTTCATTGACAGGGTTTTCGTTAAATGCGTCGGAAGTGAAGACATATGTCATATTGGATATTTTAAGGGCATTATTGATATTTTACGTGTTGAAATGAGTATTGATCTGATACCGAAGAAATATGATGTGGCAACCGTGGCTGAGTGCGATCTCGTTCGCAAGCAATCCTCTGTGCATCCCTTATGTGACGTCTGGCTTTGTTGTTTCCTGCATCATCTCGTGACTGTGAGGAAGCTATGCCCCGCACGTTTGCTGGCTGGAGAGGACAATGAGAGTTTGTCTCTGTGCTCTGAGGCTCGAGATCAGCGATTCGGAATGCGACGAACTGAAGCATCTGCGATACTCCTGTTTCCCAGAGAAAACAGGTGAGTAGCGCCCTGATTGGACTTGAATGAGCTTTTCGCAACTCATTATCTTTTCCCGCTCTCTTTACCAGAAGATACTGATAAGCAAGGTAAGAAAGCTCTGACCAGGGAAGAAATTCAGAAGAACCAAGGTCAGAGGAAGACAAGGAAGATCACGATTGAGTCGTACGAGATGGCCGAGGCGGAAAGGAAGGAGTCTGCAGTTCAGAGAGCTGGGAGTTTACCTCCCTCCGGAGGAGAGAAGAGGCGGGGTCGTAAGGGGAAGGAACTGCGAAGATGTGGCGATTCCTTGGATCAGGTAGGCCTAGACTTGTGCATTTAGTACTTGATTAAAAGCCCTGATATAATTGGTGGATTTTGTCTTTCAGCAAGCCTTGGAAAGCGACAGGCCACCTCCTAGTGATGATGCGTTGGATGACACGATGTCAGTTTCCCTCCCATTTAGATCTGGGAACCCATTTGTGGAGGTCACCGAAGGAATCTTGCACTTCTACAAGGAGAAGTGTGTATTTTCCCAACCCCTTTATGTTTCTGATTTTCTGCAAAAAATATGCATACCCATGGTCCTTGCCCCTCAGGAAGAACACAGATACTGCGACCGAAAAGACTACTCTTTCCAGCGAGATGCTCTGCATGCTACGCGTCCCAGCCCTGATCACCAGCCGTGACCTCCTCAGCTTCATTGCCCCCTGTGCACCAGACATTCAACATGTTCGCATCATTCGCGATTCCACCCCCGACGAGTACATGGTCCTCCTCAAGTTCCGTTCAACGAGTGCAGCAGAAGAGTTCTATATCACCTATAATGGCTTACCATTTACTTCACTCGAGGAAGACACCTGCAATCTCGTGTGCGTGTCTCGTGTCGAGACGATCAAGGAGTCCGAGGGTGGCTCTCTTCCTCTGGGTACAGCTTTTCTTTTATTGACTTGTTAATTGTGTCTTTGGGAGACTTTGATGGCAAATTCCTTTTTCAGAGGGTCACACGGAGCTTCCAGTCTGCCCAGTGTGTTTAGAAAGAATGGATGAGTCAGTGGATGGAATTCTGACCATTCTCTGCAATCACTCATTCCATGGGAGCTGCCTTTCCAAATGGGGTGATACAAGGTAGGTGTCAGTGAGTAGCATTCCCCATGTGGTTCACTGACTCAACTATCATTTTGTATGGTTATGCTCTTTCTGTTATGGGTCTTTTGTTCTTGTACCTTGTTGAATCTTCATGGAGGAACTATTTAGTTAGATGTCTAATTCAAGACTTTTTATGAAGGCCATCCACAACCGAGTGCAATGGTTTTGCATTTTTCCAGTACAAAATTGTTCAAGCAAACAGAAAATTAGAAAAAATACATTCTAATAAACTAAGAACTGTGTTTCACTACCATGGGAACCTTTTTCAGTCCAAGTGGAATTTCTGTCATTGCAGCCAAATCAAACCATGCAGCATGGAGAATGCATGTACTTGTATGTCTCTCAACAATATGGGGGATGCTGGGTGGAGATAAAAAAAAAAACCTTATCTGGTCTCTCCTAAATTTAATATGGTGTGTAAGTTGGGGATCATTTTCAGATTAATCATAAATGCCACTATTATCCATTAGTTGTCCAGTGTGTCGATATTCCTCAACTCCTGAACGGGAAGAAGAAAACCGGTGCTCTATATGTCAGGCGACTGGAGAAGTCTGGATCTGCCTCATCTGTGGCCATTTGGGCTGTGGACGATATGAAGGGGGGCATGCTCATGAGTAACATCACTCTTTCTGCACTTAGTTCTCATATTATGGCCCAATCCACAACTCCATTTTGATGTTAATTTATTTTCTGCAGTCACTTCATGCAGACACAGCACACGTATGCCATGCAAGTTGGCAGCAACAGAGTGTGGGACTATGTTGGAGATAACTTTGTTCATCGCCTGGTTCAGAACAAGACTGATGGGAAGTTAGTTGAGCTGGATGGACAGGACAGGGATGGGCAAGACACAAAGACTGTGGTAAGAGATACTGGATTCACACTTTAAGCACCCTCTGCTACTGTCCCTTTACACCTGTTTTCTCTGTTAGGATGGAATGAGTCTTGGGATGGAGGAGAAGATGGACTCTGTGCGGCTTGAATTCACGTACCTTCTCACATCTCAGCTGGAGAAACAGAGACAGTATTTTGAGGCTAAGATTGCAAAAGTGGAGCATCAAGCACATGAAGAGGTTGGTGGGAAAGTGAACATGATGCCATTTTGAAACCCTCAGCTTACCTAATGCATGGTGCTTCACACAGATCCAAGAATTGAAAGAACGAGCCAAGAAATTGGACAGTGAATGCAAAATGCTTAAGGACCAATTGGAATTGGTCACCAAAGAAAAGGGTGCAGCAGAGAGGAAAGTAAGACTTCAAAATGTTATTCTTGTTTTGGAGACCATCAACTTATTGTAAATTTGATCCTTTTCAAGGTCAATAACCTGACGGGGAGGCTGACCCGAATGGAGGGTGAACTCAAGGAAGAAAGGGAAATGAATAAATGCTTGAGGGAGAACCAGAGTGGATGGCAGGAGAAACTGCGTGTGACACAGTCTGCAGCTGACAAGAAAGCCCAGGTTTGTTGCTGGGAAATTAATCAAATTGGACTATATTTTGTATCTGTTACATAAGTAATAACTATAGGTAAAATTTTTTGAAGTTCAACAAGAGCATGAATTCCTGGAGGTATAAGTGCATTTGAATTCCAGTCTGTTTTCATCCCCTCTCTTTTCTCTCTAAAATTTGCTGTGCTTGATTTTGCAGGAAGTGGTGGAGCTGGAGGAGCAGCTTCGGGATCTCATGCTGCACCTTGAAGGAGCAGAGAAGCTGAAGGCAATGGATGCCTCCAAAGAAGGGGAATTGAGGCAGGAGATTCAGGAAGGAAGGATTGTCCTTGGCAGCACCCCAAGCAAAGGAGCACGCAAGAAACGTACCCGTTGAGGGAAACACTTTGTGGCAAAGCCTGGTTACTCCTGCTTTGCCAGTTTCTCATGTCAAAAGATATCTCAATCTTTTGTTTTCCTGTGATTGATTTCAAGCAAGAAATACAATTCTGCTATATCTTACATTGCAAGTAGAGTGTTTTCCAGAAATAGCACAATACCTGAGCACCCATAGATCTATTCACACTCATAAATTTCAAAATCAGAATTATGGTGGATGCTTTTAGATCACTGGGCCATCATGAAGACCAACTGAGTCCAAGTGACACTGATGCTACATTGCACAAGACTAGAAATAGGAGTACTGACATCACTTAAGGTGCTTGAAAAGGTCCTTGGCCACACAGTGATCCACGCAATGCACAAAATCCATGAGCTCTTCTACACACATTTCTGCAGTTTTGGTACGGGATGACACACGTTCGTTGCAATCATTCAAGCGGGCTTGCAGAGAAGAACATTTGTCTGAAGCAGCACACCCTTCCTAAAACCATAACAGTTGAAAATGTTTACAAATAATAGCTTACTAGAATTCCATGATACTGGGGTGGCTTATTATTCACACTAATTGGATAGAATTGCATAACCATAAGAACACAAAGCAGTACCTGACATGAGCAGAATAACATCAAATACTCCATCCCACTTCCTTAATACTATTTAAGGCATGCTGGTTAAAAAAGGTTACCTTGAGTTTGACCTGGGGGTCAACCAATTCTTCCTCCTGGGCCTTCACAGACAGAGACAGTGACATTCTTCGTCACAGCAGCTCAACCTACCCTCACTGACAAACCAATGATGTTTCACATTTGAATCACCCAGAACAAAAGTACTGCAAAAGGTCTCTTGGGCATTAGTCTGTGCATTGGCCACTCCCAAGGCATAGGGGGTTAACCTCCCCTGACCTGAGATATTTGAACTCAGGAGGAGTGACTATCAAGAAACCAACCAACAACAAGGTGGAAGTTGAAAGTGTGGAGAAATGAACCAAATACGAAGAAGGAAGAAGAAAAATTTCATCCCATTTTTCATTCATGGATGATAGAATCTATCACAAGGACGAACCCCCTGAGAAACGGGGGTGTTTCAGTTAAGGGATCCACGACAGTTTGGTGCTCCACACAAGCATGGAATCTTCTCATCTTCAATGGGGAACTTGTAATCGTACGTGATCTCCTCGTTGACCCCGATGGCCTGCTTCGAATAAATGACAATCTTCTTCTGCCCCTCCACTGTGATGATTTTGGCATAACAGCTTGGCTATAGAAATATAGGTATTCGTTCATTCTCAGAAGTGTAACATTGGCGAGATTATTCATTCTTAAAAAACTAATTGCCCCTCTAAAAAAGGTTTTGTACCCTAAGGTGCCCCTAATCTGACTTGTGCATGAAGGAGCACATAAACTGTAAAAAATATTTTTATGCAGAGAAGCAATAAATTTCCTCATAAGTTTCATCACTCAGACCAATACATGACAAACTCACATTGCAGGAGTGGTTAATGAAGCGTGCGAGATTCCCACAGCGTGTGGCATCAATGATGCTTTCAGTGTCAATGCGGAACATGTATGAGCTACCGATCCCAGTCTTCTCATAGTGCTGTTCCCGCAGATCAGAGATGACTGGTCGAATACGCTGACCCACGTACTCGATTACCATTTCATCTGCTGCAATGGGCTCCAGAGCAAACAGGCCCCAATCATGGATTGAAGACTTCCCAAACTTCAACTGTTTCTTCCGGAACTACATGAGACATAAGTACCTCCTTTATTCTGAGCACATGACTAAAAACTGCTTCAACCTTTTGTGAGACTAAGAAAGGAACCTTGAGCTGATTGAACTTGAGGAGATCCGAATCTGTGACGGACGAGAAGGCGGCCAGAAGTCTCCGTTGATTGCTTCTTGCTTCCCTGGACATTTCTTGAACTTTTCCCTTTTTAGGTTCAGGTACATCCCAGCCTGTGGAGGTACCATCTGCTCCAGTCCCTGCTTCTGCCCCTCTCACGGCTCCAGGTCTCTGTTTAGTGCATAAAGCCCAAAACTGACTTCTGTTTCCTATTTCACATAAAGCAAGACTTAGGACAAAACTCCTTACCTTTTGACTTCGTTTTTCCCTGAGATCAAGCTTGTAGAAGCCTTCAGTCCTGGCACAGCCAGTAACATGGACTCTGCCTTCATGCTCCAATTTTCGTTTCTTCTTGGGAGGAGTAATGAATGCAGTATTTGTGGGAGCATGCTCAACCCAGTGAGAGTCATTTAGCCAATACCCTTGCACATCATCTGCTAGCAGAGCCTCATAAGATCGCTTCAGGTACGAGATATCCTCCACATCGATTCCTGATTGCAACATACCAAGTGTGAAACAAATGCTTGTGAGATGAGGGAAAAAACAAAGATATGGCAGCTTACCCTTGGTAAGGAACTCGTAGAGGATTTCCATTTCGCGCACAATCTCCCGCTTTGGGAACAGGAACTTCTTAGCTCGATCTTCGGCTCCGGTCTTGTTGAAATAGAAACCATGATCATGTTGGAAGGAAGGTGCAAAGACACTCTGTGTTGCCTGTCTGGCCACCTCATCGACAGCTGGAGTGTCCGAGGAACGGCAGTATGAGTGTTCAAATGAAATGCCAGGGCTTGAGTCAGGTTCCTCCATTGCCGGAAGCTTATCGATCAACACCCGCAGCTCCCCGTTCTTCACTACCTCCCACTTCTTCGATGACTTAGACTCCTTTCTCTCTCCTTCATGCCATCTGCTTTACAAATAAAGTCATACCTTTGTTTCTCATACTAAAAATTAAAATCACCTTTTGAATGCTTAATCAGTACTCACCTTCCATCTTCCTGCTGCCGAGGTTGAGCATCTTCGCGAACTTCCTTGATGGGAGGCTTGGCTTCTGGTTCTGATTTTGACTCAACCTCCATCTCTTCCACTTCCTCCTTCTTCTGTGCCCCTTTCTTCTTCCTTTCTTTTTCTTCCTCCTCATCTGACCAAGAGCTCTCTTCTGAGGAACTCTCTGGAAAATTCAGTCATTCAAAACACAAACAGAAAATAATGAAATGGATCCAGATCTCTTCATTACCAGCTTCATCATCTGAGGAGGTAGACGATTCGTTGGACGAAGACGATGACGAAGATGATGAGGAGGAAGAGGAGGCAGGGGAGTGGCTGCCAGCTGGAGACTGACCTCGAGAGGAGGTAGAAGAAGAAGACGAGGACCAGACTTCACTGGGCTTGAGTCGAGATACCGAAGCTGACTGGGAATCTTCAAGTGTTGATGGGCCTTGCGATGAGTCCTCGTCCATCGGTGGTGGGGAGATCCGTTTCATCTTGCGCTGGAACAATAATTCCAAGGATCCTTTCACTCAGATGCTCCATTGATACAAACCATGACACAGTTCTTGACCCTTTTTGAACATTTTTCTTACACGGAAGGATGGCAACTTTGGTATGGACGCCCGAAACCCAAGTCCTGATCCGAGACCAAGAGGCTTCTCCTGACTCTTGTCGAAGAGAGATGAGATCGAGATGGTCTCTGTTGGTCCCCGTAACTCCTGCTCAGCATTACACTGCATGACATCCATCGACACGTAAAGAAAACAATAAAAAGAAAATGGCCAAACAAATTTTAACACAAAATCATTCCAACCTTGTGCTTCCGCTCCTGCTCATTCCACCAAGCCTCAAAGCGGCTGAATGCAATGCCCTCGACCATTTTCCGACTTAGATCTTTCTTGAGAATGACTTGCAGCTCCTTCACCACCCGCTCACATACACCACTGAAATGGTTCATGGCACAGTTATCACTAGAACATCTTCCTGCTATTTTTCCAGGACAGAAGCAGAAGACTCACTGGATGGTGAGCGAATATGGTGAAGCACCATCATGTTTGTACTTCGTGGGTGAGGGATACCCATATCCCTGGCGTGGAGCCCCATAGTTATACCGGTAGGGAGGCTGTGGGTAGCGGTAGTAGGGATCATATGGAGGAGGAGGCATTCCCTCCATCATATGAGGTGGAGGAGGGTAAGGATAGTCTGGAGGAGGAGGACCCATCATGTATGGATGATGATAATATGGAGGGGGGCCAGGTTGAGGCCTTGGCCAAGGCATGTGATGTGGAGGTGGTGGAGGCATGGGTGGAGGCCCAGGCTCTCCATGGATTGCAGGAGGTAATGGAGGTGCTGGGTGGTGGAGTGGGGGCTGTGGCAAGGGGAAGTTGTCTTCATTTGCAGATGACAGACTGGAAAGGCTCATGTTGTCTTCATTGGAATCTGATGATGGAGAAGAGCCAAAGCGACCAGATCGTTTTTTCTGCTTCAATAACTTCCTCCCAATCTCCTGGTGGACTGATTCCTCTATCACCTGCATCATAAAGGCATTCAGGTTAACACAAAATTCACACAGAGAAACAAGTGTGCAAACTGATGGTATGTTTGGGGGAAAAAAAAAGCCTCCATTTCCTATGGGCAATATCAACAAAGGTAAAAAGAGCCTAGTTTAAATAAATAAAAAAATTGCATTTCATAAACAAAACAACACCTACTCTACCCATGGACAAAAGGAAGGCCTATACTATGTCTTTCAAATAGGTATCAAATGTAACTTTCAACTAAATGCACTCCATAATCCATGAAAATTTCTCTGCAGAGAATAGTGAGGCTTTTTTTTTTTCTCATAAATGCTATATACTGACCTTATAAATATACTTGTTACTCATGGCCCTCTCAACATTTTTGAGGAGCTCCTCAGTGGTCTCAAACTGTTCCCTATCTCTGACAGCCTTTCTCTTCTCTTTTGTGGCCTCATGCCATGTCAGGTACAGCTCTCGGGAGAGGAAAGGCGATGGGGTGCGGGAAAGAGGTATCTCGTTCCATGACCCCCACCGGTCCTCAGGGAGCCCTTCCATTTCCCCCTCAGAAGAAGTGTGTCTTCTCCTTCCACAACTCGGGGAGAGAAATGAAGATGACTCCCTCTCTGAATCTTTCCCTCCGTGATGGGTATTCTCATTGAATAAGATGGCCAGTCGGGCGTCAAGGTCCATCTTTGGAGAGTCTGCTTTCAATGAGTGTTTAGGAGAGGATGATTGATGCATTGATCCATGCTGGTAATCAATGGTCTGCTCCTGATTCAGCTTGAGCCTTGCAGTGAGAACTTCAGACAATGTCATGCCTGCCATCTCAGGGGCAGGAGAGGGGCTCTTCCAGTTGGAAAGGGGGCTTGGATCTGGAGGAAAGAAATCCCAATTAGTGAAATTGACAGGAAGTCCATACAAGATGGAACATTAGTACACCTGAAAATTGTCCCTCACCAACTGAATGATTTGAGGGAGGTCTTGAATGTGAGGTAGATGGTGTCGAGAATGTATGAGAAAGAGGTCGAGAAGGCCAAGCCTGAGAGGAAGAGCCACTAAGACTGGCTCTTGATTGTGGGATGCCAAAAGGGCGGGTGGGGGGGGCTATGGCCTGAAAAGGAGATTTTCTCATACATGGGGTAGGAATTGGAGTTGCAAGATCCAGGCTGGCTGCACCAGGAGTAACACTAGTCGTGTCAGTTCGTGTCCCAGTGGTGGTCGATTGCACCTCGCTCTCCTCCTCCGACGAGGTGCTGCTCTTGCGGCTATCCAACGGAGAGCCCGGAAGTACTGAACCACTGCCTCCCTCCTTCTTCTCTGTCGTCACCGTCTCAAAGAGCCGACGACACTCCTCACCTAGAAGATGAAGAAGTGCAAAATGTGGCATTTGACAAATATATATTGGCGAAAGAAACATGAGGAACTAAATTTATCCTCACCAAAAGCATCTAAGAAAACCAGTAGTTTCTGCCCCATGACAGAGGTACCATTTAATTTCTGAACACAAAGCTTTGCATGAGCAGGGTTATCAAACACCACTCTGGCTAGGCCAAGGTGCTTCTTATTCACAGGGTGATAGTATATGTATAGTTCTTCCACCTGCCCATACTTAGAAACTATTTCTGCTAGGAAGTCCCTGTCGATGTTGTCGTTGATGTTCGAAATCGTGACCTCGACTGCCGGAGGAATGCCCACGTAGTTTGAGTCGATCTGTAACAAGTTCCAGATGCCAGTGTCTGAAGATTTTTGTAGGAAGGAAAAACGTCATGAACAAAATCTCAGGAATGAAACTCACCTTGAACTTTGGTACTGGAAGGTCCAGGGCCTCGGCACCTTGGAGCCAAATGCGAGCCCGTGCTGGACGAGGATCGCGCAACTGCACAGGTGGATACAATGGATCACTGGGTACAACTCCATCGTAGCGATAAAGTTTTGTGGCTCCCTTCACCAAGAATGGGTCTATGAGAAGCTTGTATGACCGATAGTTCTTGTGGGGAGTCTGAGGCTGATGCTGTTGGTGAGGTCTCTTATGATTCGGGGATATACCCACGTTCCGGTCCATCACATTCCCTTTTCAGGATTCTCTTTTGTTGATGATACTCAGCACTGCACCTGGGCAGAGTTGAGCTAAACTAAACAGAGGCCTATGCAAGGCCTGACCCTTTCACAGGGTCATAGAAACACCTGATCTGAGCACATGGACACATGTATAGAGGCCAAAGGCCTTGCCAATCTCACACAGAGCGGCTTCAAGCCAGTTACACTAACATTCGGTAACAATAATGCTGGCTGTTTCAGCCTGCACTGCACCATCACTCGACTGAGCAGAAAGACAGACGATTATGAACATGTGACAGGCTACTCGTGGTCTCACTTCTTGCGTGCAACGGAAAACTCAGGTTTGTCCCAACCATGATTTTGGCAAAGGATAGCTTCATGAATAACTTAGGGCTCGCCCCGGCATGGACAGTAGGCCTGTTCTGATATAATATTAATTAAAACTAGCGTAACACTAAGCCTGGGGGCTGTTGTGTTCACAAGACGTACAATAGCCAGCCTGGGCCCAATAACAACGAAGCCCCCGCTCACTGTTAGCAAGAGGTGAAACTCAAACGAAGATTACGGTATTTCATGGCACGAGGACGTTCGTCATATACGTATGATACGTAAACTCATACGTTCACCGACACCAGGAGCCGAGAGGACACGAACGACATCACAATCCCTCGTGCGCTTTCCCTCCGTCCCTGATCACCTCCGTCATGACAGTCGTCGGGCATCTTCGATCCTGCCGCCGCCATGCTTCCCCATTGTGGCGAGCTTGGGACTCCGCCGATAAAGGCACCGGCCGAAGGACGACTCAATTATCGCCTCTTCTTTGTGACCGTGAATCAAGTCGTCCGTGCTCTTCATAATTTCATGCTGCTTTTGGACTATTTGCTCTGCATTTTTCGAACGGACCGTCAACGGCCTGCTTCCACCGAGTCACGATGAAAATGCCCCGCGGGTTGCATCTGCCCGCCCGTTCCTCGTCCCGCTCCCGCACGACCCACTCCGACCCATCCAAGCCGGCGAGTAGGACTCAGACGGAAGGGACTCCCTCGTGCGGTGAAAACTTCTCTACAACTATCAGATCCACACTTCGCTGGAAAGGCGTGGAAGGCACGTGGGATCGGAGGGAAGGATTCATGATTCCCTTCCACCAGTTTCTGTGGACGGAATCGGGAGGTGGGCTCAATAATGTGACTGGAAAGATCGCGAGGTCATCGATACAGGTGAAGCCAAGAGCAAATGTGACTTCCCTTCTGATATACGGCTGCTTCCGTATTTTCTTATTCCCGTTCAGCCTGCCGTCAGCGAAATGGTTTGTATGAATCCTATCAACAAAAGGTATTGATACTACCTGGTACCAGTTTTCACCCTCGTTCAGACGAGTTGCATGAGATGCATGTGTTAACTTGTTAACTAGACACAAGTTAACTTGTGAACTTAATTATCTTCATAATCTAATTTAAATTTAAAAAAAAATAAGTCACACGATTATCGCTTGAAATGTCGCGGCTCTTCATATCTCCCTGCGTGCCATTCCCGTATCAAGTTTTGTTAAATTTTGCAGCATGGGGTTTCTCCGTTCAACCGTCTGATTTATACTTCGTTTGAGGGTCGACTCCCTATTGGCTGGACGAAACGACGTCATCGGCAAGAGCATCTCTATTGGCTGGAAGATTCCCTGCCATCGGCACTGGAGGTTCTGATTGGCTCCTGATCGCTAGATGCGATGGTCGTGAAAACTGCGGAGGTTCTTACGAGGCATGGAAGGCGACACGTCTCCGCAGATAAGGGGATGTGAGAGGGGCTCCAGGTGCGTCCGGCCGCCATCTTCCTTGCCGGGCCGTGCGGTCACACGTCGGCTGCCGCGTGTCCTCGTGCTTGCGAGGTCTTTCCCCGTGCCTGCGAGGTCTTCCTCGTGCTTGCGAGGTCTTTCCCTGTGCCTGCGAGGTCTTTCCCCGTGCCTGCGATCCCGGCTTTTTTCCGCTGCTAGCTACTGGTGGGCGATGTCTCTCGTTTTCCATTCTCGAGATATTGGGCAGTGGAACGCTTCATTAAAATTAAAATTAAAAATTGGCATTTCAGTATTTCTAAACGGTGTTCCTAAAAATACTGTGCCGATTCTTTTTTTCATGTGAGTGACTGTAAATTTTATTCGATCCGTCGAATATTTCACAAACTCCATGTGGATAGATGAAAGAAGGTTTTCACCAAATTTGAAGGATATTGACCCAATGCGTCGCGTGCGACACGGTTAAAAACTTGAAGGTTAAGAAAACGCACCGGACGTCCTCGCCGATGCATCCGCCTCGCCGCGCAGCCAGCCAGAAGGGCCGAGGAGGCCGGGGCGAAGGCGGCGGCGGGCGATTTTTCACCCGTCGGGTTCGAACCGGCGCGGAACGTGATGCGATCGTGAATTTCCTTCAAAGTCGGCACATACCTCCTTTCCTCTATCTGCTCTGTTCCCAGGCGGAGACGCGTGTCGATATCACGTGTCGGCAGGGTCGGATTGGGAATTTGTGAGGCCCCGGGGCAAGCAGTGGTGCAAAATTTGATTCGTCGCATCTGCTACTTAACCCTTTCAGACCCGGCAGTCCATTCCAAATGGACAGAGCATTTTCATCGCAATTTCTTGGGATTCTCGTGATTTTGCGCCCCAAATCACTCTTGAATGGGTGGAATGACTCGATTCCATCGGAGGCCATCTCTCACCCATCAGTTTTTATATGAAATATAAAAACGATATAAAGAAGTTCAAGTAGAATAGCAAAAGAGCTAAAAAATGCAAAAAGGTATATTATTCCGGCCTTAATTCAGGTCTGGAAGGGTTAAAGCAAATAACTAACGTCTTTCATTTTTTTGTCGGAGTGCAGCCACGTTCGTCGCCGTCGTTCTAGATTTCTTCGCTGGAGATTTCGTCCCACCCAAGACTCGACGAGATGTCGGCCGACGGGAGCCAGGCGTCGGCCGAGGGACCGGGGGACGACTGGGCGGAGGGCCCCTCGGCGACGCGCCTCGCGGTCGCGTGGATCCTCCGCGTGGGGCTGCTGAGCCTCGTCGTGTGCGCCGCGTACGGCGGGGGCCTCGTCGCGGTGGGCGTCGTGCTCCTGCTCGTCTTCGTCCTGGCGGGGCTGGGGAGCAGGAGGAGGAGAGAGGGGAACGCACACGCCGAGTAGAAGGGAGCGCACACGCCGAGTAGAAGGGAGGGCACACGCCTCGTGTTGGAGGCGTCTTCATCGTTCGCCGTGCGGTTTTCCACGTGTTTTTATTCTGGCGTTGCTTTTGAATGGTCTTTCGTTCCTCGATCCCGGTGGACTCGTCTGTGTGTGTGAGACTTCAATACATTCCAAACTTGTCTCGCTTCCATAGTTTAAGGTGTTTTTTTTTTTTTGCGGATCGACGCGAAAAGCGAAGAAAATGGGCGGAAGATTGCAGCAGGAAAATGCTTCAATCGGTCGCTTTTCGTTAACCGATTGAGGTGATTGGTCGATGGTCATGAGTTTCATTAGGAGATAATTAATTTAAAATTAATTAAGCAAGCGATTTTTTTTCTTTAAACCGTTGATATTTTAAAAATCTGATTTTGTTAATAATTTTCCGAGAATGAACCAGACACGGTACGGAAGAGAGTAAGAATCGCGTGGGACCGCCAAGACTTCCGTCGCGTTCAGCGCCGATGCATAAGAAGTGCAAAAAAAAATCGCATTCGAGCGTTTCCGCTGGCTCGGAGTTTCTTCCAAAATTTAATTTCCTCATCCGGCCTCAAATGCCAAAAATCATCCGTAAATTCGTTTTTTTTTTCTGCAATCCTTGTTCGTTTCGGAATCGATTGAGACGTTGGATGCCTCGGGAACCGATCGATTCGCGGAAATTTGCACGATTGCGAATTCGCCTTCAGATTGAAATTAAAGGACGAAAACTTGCGCCTGCGGAGTCGATCGAATGGACAAAAGTTCACGAGACCGTAAAAAAAAAAAGCGACCTGAAGGAAGACCCGCAACAATCGCAGGCCGACAAAATCGCAGGAGTCATCCCTCGTTTTCGCGGGATTCAAATCGATTCGAGATGGTCGGGGTTCGGAGGCGGGTGGAGGCGAGGCGGGCGGGGGGCGAGGGGCCGACGGGGGGCGAGGGGCCGACGGGGGGCGAGGGGCCGACGGGAGGCCCTCCGAGTCCCATCCTCTACACGTACGCGACCGTCGTCACCGAATGGCCGGGCGGGGAGGCGGGGTGAGGAGTCGGGTTCTTCCTCGGTTGGTGACGGTTGGCCGGCGTCGGTCTCGTCGATGACGATTCTGTGAAATGCTTTCGAGGCTGTGGAGCAATATTTTTCATTCGTGAGAAGTAACTGCAAAGCCGACTGTACTTAAGTGAAGTGTGTTGAGCTGTCCGATCTGCTGCTCCCGATATTTTGCTGCATTTAGATATCACATATAAATATTTTGTTTGTTTTTTTTAATTTTTATTTATTTATTTATTTCAGTCATTATTTTTATTCTTCGCTTTCCTTTTTGTGTTATTTTTATTATTTTTATATTCAAATGTTTATATATTTAACCTTAATGATTTGATGGAACGACCTCACGAGAGCCGTCACCCCCCCAGGCCCGAGCCACCAGGAGGATTGAAGACGTGGCAGATCGGCGCGATCGCAGGCGCCCTCCTCCTCGTCCTCTGCGTCGCCGCCGCCCTCTGCCTCCTCTGTCGGGGCGGGGCGACCGGCGGGGGCGGAGAGCCGAGGAGAAGCACCCGGGGCAAGGGCAAGGGCAAGGGCAAGGGGACGAGGAAGTCGCGGAAGGGAGGGAGGAGGGAGGGCAAGGCCAGAGGAGGGGAGACGGGAAAGAGCAGCAGGAAATGATATTCGTTCCGATCTTTTTTTTTGTGTCTTATTTTTGTTTCCTGTTCGGTGAAACGTACTTTTCGTCGGCTCGTCTTTCATTTTCGGATGCATCATTTTCTTGCACTCCGCATATCATCTACACCATCCTGCAATATAGGGATATTTATTTTAAAGCTGGAAGTGACGAGAATCAGCGCTTCCGACGATGGAAGCGTTTCGCGGAATTCTCCGACGTCGGAATCCTTCCTTTCGAGTGGATCCACCGGGAAGAATCTCTCGTCCGTCCGGAACCCACCTCCTCCTGAGCAATTAAAGAACGAATGTTAACGGTCTCGATGCGATGGGTCGACCCGGCGACAGATCGACTCACCGTCCGACGTCC